GTTATCCATCGATCGTTTGTAAAATCGCATCGAAAATAATGCGCGATATTTTGGGTTTGCAACGTGTCGGAGTCGTGAGTTGTAAGTCGAAATTTCCCACGTAGCATGGAATTTATTTTTCCTAAATGCTCAAAATGCTCTGGCGTTAAAACTATTTCCGCTTGGTGTTTGACAGTTTAAAAAAGCTGTCCAGACATAAATAATTGTGGGAAATTATGTCTAGTTTAATTTTGTGGTAGAGTCGTAAAATGCACCGGAAAAGATATTGTATAAAAAATAACACATTTTTGCCATTTCTCAGAAATGATGCCGCAAGCGGTGCACACCCGAGGTTGCAAAGTAAAAATAAAAAAGAATACATCAACATCTATAAAATTGCCCATTTTTAGCACTCCTGGAAAAGTCTTAGGAATGTAAAACAACATTTATCAGGACTGGACAAGGAAAGAACTCGTCTTGGGAGTGGTCAGTGTTATTGAGGGGAGGGTGATGACTATTACCTGATATTATTTACCATAACAAGTGCGTTAATATAAATTATTACTAACCCTTCAACGTGTTTTATTTGAAAAAGCAATTTTTAGTAAATTTTCTATATTATGATGATATTAAAATTATTTAATATATACCTACGTATTAAATAATTTTTAAAACTATATTTTTTACAGTTCGTAAATACCTAGTCTCGGAATTATATAAATTTCGTAAGATTCTCATATATTTCCGGTAGGTAACACATATGTGAAAATTATAGTAAAAATGGATTATAGTAAACTTATAGAAAAAATGGATTAAGCATTTATCAAATATTACTACTATATATATAATATTCTGTAAAATATATTATTTATAGCAGAAACACGCTTGTCTTTATGTTGGTATAATAATAATGACCTTTATTTTTAATACCTTAGTCCGACCTCGTTTAATCTACAAATTGCGCATATGTATTTTTGGCTTCACAAATTTTAGCTAATGTTCGGTCTGCTTACCTATTTTAAGTTTGTGGTTTTAAATACTATAAGGTGAAAATTAGCAGTTTTACCTCGATTCTCAAAACGCTAGGTTTTAAAACTTCCAAGCAAAAAAAGCGGTGACAGTTGCCAGCATAGATATAAATCTTATTATACTTGCCAGTAAGTAAAATATGTAAAAAAATATTCTATAATTATTCTATCTATACATTGATACCTTTTACCTGAATAAGCCTTTGCAGATTATGATGATTACGATTATTTGAAACAAGTTTCAATAGGAGAGGACTAGATTGAAAATCATAGTAAAGGGATGACAATGTGCCCAAAAAAATAAATCATTATCACGTCCGCCCACACTGCTCTTGAAGAAGAGTCTCTCTCTAACTTAAAACTATTATAGTAAAAGTTTTCTCAATATTGACGTGAGCAAACGACATCTTTAATCATAATATTTTTTTTCATGTATCTAAAAAAAAATCATTCCCACGGTTTTCATTAAAAAAAGATTTGATTTATTGTATAAGTAACAACGTTTTCATTATGCAATCAAAACGGTATAACAATAGTATAAACGATCACTTGTTCCATAAAATAAAGAAAAAAATTAATTTAATTATTTCATTATTAAAATAAAACACATAATATTTCCTTCAGTTTGTTTTTAGTAATAAAACAAATGTATTGCTTGGCAACACTTGGATGTAAACGTCTGCTTGCAATGTTCTGTATTATTCTGGCAACACCCGACTCAGCGGTCAGCCTGGAATATGGCCGCTTCAGGTTAGTTCTGGTAATTTTGTCACGTGAAAAAATCTCTAAATTATATCTAATTCTATTATGTATTATCAAAATTTCATACTTAATTTAGTTTGCATGTGATACAGTTTTCTAATGCACCCATTTTGAAGCCCATATAATGTTATCTAATAATGCTAACGTGTCATCATTTCACCTCTGCGGACGTTTGGATTTACCGCGTGGCCACATTTTTCAATGCTCTTAATTTTTTATTACCTCTTTTACTCGATTTATTATTCAGATTATTGGTTATATTGTTATTTGAGGAGGTGAGGAAGTAGGTTAATTGTAAAATGCTATATGTCCTTTCATAAGTCCGCCAATAACCGCTTTCCAAAAACGGAGTAGGTCGTTCACTTACTATGCGTCATCATTATTCATTAGCTTGTCCTCTACTTTTTCTAGATTTCGTACATCCAGCTGTCACAAAATATATTGTACGGAAAATAATTATAATCATTTTCTCGTGTAACTTTTCCAGGCAAATCAAAGAAAAAATCGAAATGGATACCCGCCAGTATCACAGATATTATTGCGGAACCTACGACGATTCCGACAACCCACAACTGGGCAGACTCGGTCGATGAGGAACGTAAGTTCAAATACTCATATTCTGTATCATAAAACTATGTTGAGTCGCAACTCGACCCAATGATGAGATGTAAAGGGTAAAGGCTCGCCAATGTCAATCTCGTACATGGGGTGCACTTGCCGAGTGCTCGTCACTCTCTTCGCCCCGGGAAGGTCTGAGTAAAGGTCTTTTGTGTTTAAACACATTCTAGCCGGATGCTTCTCTTAAAGGGAAGGCGGGGGAACCAGAAACTACAGTGTGATGTTGAGCCTGTGAAGCCAGGCCTGTGGGGTCAGGTGGAGTTGTTGACATTGTCACTGTTGGAAACCCCTGTGACCAGCAATTTTAGCCCAATCTACGAGATGACATAAGTCACAACTCAATTCAGACTAGTCTTTCATTGGCTTGCTCCCTAATAGTTCTGAGGGTCATAAGATTTAGACAATTTATGAATTATCTTGAATTGAATGCCACATGTAGCACTACTCTTTGTTAACAAAATGTATTGTTAATAACCCTGCCATACATAGATACAATAGTTTAAGATTATTATAGGATTCAAATCAACAATATGGAAATATTTCATTTGTATATGAATGCAGACATTTTCAATTTTTTATGCTGGTTGTTTGTTTTATTGATTTTTCTACCAATATGTATAAAAATAATGTAACAGAGTTTCTGTTAGTTTTATTGAGGTATAGTTAGTAAATAAGTGTAATGCATTATCTTTTATACTGGCTGATTACTAATAGACTGATTGATGATGCTAATTACTAATTTCAATGAGAACAACAGCAAATAGTTTCCTTCAATCAATACAATACAGCTTCTTAGCTTTTGCAACTGTATTACTTCTTTAATAATCTGTACTTAATGAATATATTATGCTCATTTCACAGTATAACTAAATATTTCATGACATGTATAGAGTAACTAAAATATTATCATGTTCAATTAGTTGTTAATGTTTTCTTAACAATGTAATTAGCATTATCTACAACATATAGGTAATTTATGAACACATTTGATGGTTGTGTTTAACTTTACATTTTGTTGATAATCAGAGAAATATACAAAGAAAAAATTTCCAGGATCATAATGATTGTTGTGTAGAACTTGAATATAATTATTAAATTTATATCAACTTAGCGGAAAATGCTTATGGCGGAGGGTACCACCAGTCCCGGCAAAGAGCGCCGGTGGTGCTGCCGTCAGCGTCGCGGGCGGCGCGCGGCGGCCTGGCCGTGGACGACGAGTCCATCCCCCGGCGCCCACCATTCACTGCACACATCTCCAACCTACCTTACGATGTCGACGAAACAGCCATAATGGAACTATTTACCGGACTTAAGGTAAAACAAAAAATTAACAATGATATTGTACATACACAAATCACTTCAAGCATTTGATCTTGAAGGGCAGAGGTACTTTTACACAATGCAATACACTTATCTCCAGGGTGATACTTACACATTCTATGATTTATTGTCTTTGGAACAATAAACTTTTATATATATCAGACCACCAGGTAACAATACCCTTCCTACAGTCGCGTAAAAAGGCGAATTTGGCAAAAATATTGATTATAGTACATGTGCATTTCTTGATTTACTTTAGTAAAATGGATGATTTGCATTTTTACCTAATATGAATACTTTGGTATGACTGTAAAATTATTTAATTAATCAAACCCTGAAATGTAATGTAATCTCATTATGTTCACAATTCCTTTATTCATTTAAAACTGAACAATGCCATAGTTTCCATCGCCAATTTTCATTTAATATCCTAGGTGTGGCCAGGTGTGGTGCCATTCTCAGTAATTTAAAGTGACTCTTGAACAAAAATCTAATAATATTAAACATAAAAACAAGTACTACACTTTAATATGAATTTTATAACTTATAGAAAGTATATCTCTGTAAATTATGTCAACAGCCTTGAACACAACAAAACCAGTTGCTTGAACATATATACCAGTTTATCATACAACATTTTAAATACAAGATCTTGTTCTTTGATACTGTTACATAAATAAGGATGTCAGATCACATTATGATAGTAGATTAGCAATTTAAAATATATTTTAAAGACGTAGGTAATAATGCAGCATTTACTTCTTTAACAATGCTACAAAATGGAAATGAATATTTTAGAGGAATCATAAAATTTCTCATCATTATTTAAAAAGGCAAAGATATGTTGTGTCGACTTAACTTGATATAACTTAGGATAATGACAGGACAAAGAACTATATGCATTTAAATTATTATAGAAGTATTGTTCAGGGCAGAACTTGTATTCGCGGTGGTTGAAACTAATGAATTACTTAATTTATAATCTTGTCTTTTTTACCAGATTACTAACTTACGACTGCCGCGCGAGGGCGACCGTCTCAAAGGATATGGTTGCGTGGATTTTGAGGACCGAGAAGGTCTGATAAATGCCATGAACATTCCTGACTTGGTAAGAATATTTTCAACTCACACATCATGTTATATATAGCACAGAAACATTTCTCACGTTTATTGTAGATAGAACAAAGAAGTTTGATAACCCAGCTGTTCTAGAAAGACAAAGAAATGTCCCTATGTTGCCTTCCTATTGTACTGATTTCAAATTTTTGGCGGTCCCCTTTTTTTGTTGAAAAGGGTCTATTGTGTGGGGTACCGGTTGTAACTAGTTTCGTTTGTTTGTAGACTATTGGGGGCAGGAGAATACGGATCGAAGTTTCGACACAGGATAATGACCGTCGGATGGGAAGGGGCGGTCGCAACGACCGTGACAGGTAAATACTTTCATTACTTAGGACTTCCAATATTTTTTGCAGTAAATTGTCAGTTTTAAGTACGAAAATCTTTTTGCGGACCTACTTAACCATATGAAATATCACTTAACGAAAGTACTACAAAAAAATTGGTACTTTACCCTGAGTAGTAAAAAAATTACTCTAATATTAAACACGAAGGTTACTTACACTTTGATGCTTGAATTACAGAACTCAATGTAATAGTTTATGGTGCAGATAAAGCACGTAAAGATGATAAGATTAATGGGATACATTTTAGTGACGTAATCAGTATAAAATAGTCAATTAGATTACATTTCACTGCACGGTTGGCACTATAACTGGACTGTACCAATCGTGGCTGCTATAAAACGTGGTGCGAGTTCGATTCCCGCACGAACAACTCCATAGACTCTATACATATCTCCATAGGCATAGAGTATGATGTTGATCTGAGATTGTATGTTTGTTAATGCATCAAAACACAAAAATCGACGATTTTTACCAGCGAGTCTTCCTTACGCCTTCCATACTACTACATTTAAAATCCTAAAGGATATGATACTGGAGCTCGGACTTACAATATAATATGTATTTTAAAGAACTTTATCAAATTGTATCTGTATTAGGGAATATGATCCGGAGAGAACTATGGGTGACTGGCGGTCTGGGCCACGAGCTATGCCCGAGCCATCAGGCCGGCCGCGCAATGAGGAACGACGCATGGATCGTAGCAACATGGACCGCGATCGCGATCGTGAACGCGATTGTAAGTAAATACTTCGCATTATTAAATACTCCTTTTTTCCTTTTATATTGCGAAGGAAAATAATCAAATGACTGGATGTGGCGCAAAGGAGTGTCGAGCTCTTACTGACTAAACTCTATACTTACTAGCAATTTTCCCTCGATTCCGACAGGACAATTAAATACTCCTAAAAATATTCAAAGGACTCATAAAAAATACAGGTAGCATCGGTAAATGCGTGTGACATAAATGTATACAGTTCATTACAACTTACCACGCGATTCGCGATGACGTCGCAAAGGCACGCACCTCTTCATACGCTTGGCAGTTATTTATGAGTGACATGCTAATACATTATGTATAAGTTATAATTTACTGTATTTAGGGTTAACTCTCCATGGCAATATGTTTAGAAATGTACTGAATTATTTATTTGCTTATATGTACCTACAGTTCGTTGTTAAATTGCTCATGACAAATTATATGTTTTAGTGTTGGTATTGTATGTATTTGTAACGCAAACGCAGGTATACTGTAGGTTTTTTTTAAACTTCACTGTGATGATGGGTTACTTGACGGATGGAGCAAACTATAATGTCACACTTGGGACGCACACACAGAGTACAAGATGGTCGTCGATTTTTTGTAATAATGATGAGGCAATGTCCCCGACCGTTGGGCCGCGGCTTGTCATAGGATTGACCTATTTCCTGACTTAGGAACGCATCACATTCCTTAAAATTAACGCGACGTGGTTGGAAGTAGCCTTCACGGAGCACTTAGGCAGCGTCACCATCAACATCATCTCTCCATACAGCACTCCTCCAACATAGAGCAGTAACTAAGTCGAAGCCAACCAGCACCTCGGCCATTACAGGTACCACCATATGCATGCAGCAGAGACACATGCCTGGTGTTCCCTTCGGCCTCACTAGCGTCCGGCTCAGCACACTGCACACGGTTCACGCAAGCAGAGCACATCTCTCGCCGTCACACGCAGCCACAGTGCACTCTCGCACATGTACCCGCTGCACTGGGACACAGCGAACTAAACACTACTCCGACTCACTGGAGGGTCCCCCGCACCGCGCACCCGACTCACTGGGCATTCAGCGGCACAGTTCCGACACTCGGACTGGGGACAACATACTCTGGCTCTGGCACTCTGCTCTTCAGTAGCATCGACAGCTGACTCAAGTAGATCGACCTCCGGTCTTTAGGATGGATAAAGTGATGGAGATAGATTGCACAATTAACCAACCTGGTTGGAAGATCCCCATTTCCGATCTTATTACTTAAATCGACGACTTCGGTTACTCAATACGTCTCGGGAAGGTCTGAGTAAAGGTCAAGTGCACTTTGGGCATTTAACCCTTCAGCTAGGGGTACAGCTTATAGCGGTAGCGGGGTTACCAGAAAGACGGGCTTGGAAGCTTTGTTGAGGACTCCACTCGGACGAGACTTGGCTCTTTTTGCCCTTTGAAGTCCCTGTGACCAGCTGTTTTAGTTCAATCTGTGACATAGCACTGCTATAACTTAATTCAGACTAGTCTTTAGTTGGCTCCTTCTACCAAGTAATTAACTCTGAGTGAATTATATTTTATTTGCTAATCATTTTGTAATCGGTTTATCCCTTGTATATTCATCACTGTGAAACATTTTTAGCGAGTGCCGACAATCGTCCCGGCGGATGGCGTGATGGTGACCGCCCAGCTCCGCCTGAACCAGCAAGAACACCCTATGGTGGACGCGACTCGTTCGGACGCGACCGCTATGGAGAGTAAGTCCAATACAAAACTAATTTATTCCAAAAAAGCTGTTTTTAAAATGTAACATAGTTTTCCAGCACATGAAAAAAGTAGCGAAATCTCAATATTTCGCTATTTATACAGGTTATATAATTTTATATAACCATGGTGCTAGATTAAAGAGGTTAACTAGACACCGGTTCATGCTCTGTGCTAGACCCGGTCGCTTTATACCAACATTGTTACACTTTTAGATATTTAAAGTAAGAATTATTCTTAGAAAATATTCAAATAATGTGTTAATTTAACAGGGGTAGGGAGCGCGGTGGTGGCTTCGGAGGTCGTGAAGACCGTCCAGAACGCAGCGGGTATGGCGGCCGCGACGGGTTCCGTACTGCAGAACGTGACGGAGGATTTGGGTAAGTCGAGAAAATCCTGGTTTTATCATTAGCCGAGAGACTTATAAAATAAACGATATTCAATTGTTAGTTTAGTAAGGAAGTTTAAGTTACTCAAATGCTGCATGTTGTTCCAAATGTAACAGGAAATATTGTAAAATAACTTGATATTTTCCTTATAGAAGTAGAGAAGGCAGAGGTTTTGGCGGAAGAAACTTCGGTGATCGCGACCGTGACCGTGATCCACCACCAAGAGAAGGTAATTGTTTGAACACATAACTTCATTTAATCTTCGAAGCTATACATAGAGTGCATGATATGTTAAATGTAACTCCAAATAACAAAGTGTCCTGGCGAATCAGACCGTCACTCCAAAGTCAACTAGGTCACCTAAATTAAACAGGGAATAAGTCCATTACCATACATACACCATATTATCTATTTAAGACTCCATACCAATACAGTTTTCAAAAAACTGAAATAATAGTTTGTTCAATCATCCAGATGGTAAATGTTAAATATTGGTTCTTGTAAGTAGTAAAATTACAAGAAGTAATATTTAGAATTCATATCATTCCAAACAAATATATTTAGTGTTGTAACATACTAATGACACAGCATCTTTGATTTGTAACTTATCAGTATAATTGCTTCACTGAGTAATTTTCCATACTTCTAAATAAACTGATAACAGTGGTACCTAATATTTATTTTGTGGTCACAATCATCCAGTTAATAAATAATTATAATTGGTTTGATTTTACGTTTTTATTTCGAAATTCTAATACCTATTAGTATGGTTCAATAAATACTAAGCCTTTGACTTTGGTATAAAATATATAGAAATAAACTCTAGTATGTGATGAAACGGAGATAATTATACTGAGATGCACCTTTATCTTACGTTTTAACAAGTAACTTATGCCCATAATTATGAAGATTATTAAATCTATATGGTAATATTTTGTAATTCCGTAGACACAAAGCCGCGAGAGCGTCCGAAGCTCAATTTGCTGCCTCGTACGGTCCCTCGGGACCCCGAAGTACCCACAAAGCCGGCAGATGGCGCTGCAGTGGACGATAAAGCGCCGGAGAAGGCAGCACCAAAGCCCGTGCCTGCTGAAAAAGTATTTGGTGCTGCCAAACCTGTTGACACTGCAGCTAAGTAAGTCATCTGAACTTTATGTTTAGGACCTTAATAGTAAATTCATTCAGTTCTGCAGTTAGATAATGGAAAAGTAGCGTATTTTTTTCTTCTTAATAAGAAAACAACTAAGGATTTACTCAAACGTATTAATGTTCCCTAAACATTGTTGCCAATTGCTTATTTTTTACAGAGAGCGTGAGATAGAGGAACGTTTGCGCAAACAGCAAGAGGAAGAAGCCCGGCGCGGCGGGGAAGAGAAGGAGCGCTGGGGACGAAGGGTCGGTACAATTTGCTATACAAACACGATAAATTAATTTAAATAAAAATAAAACACTAACATCACCATTTCATTTTTACAGAACGATCATTCAGGCGATCGTCGGCCTGCACCAAAGCGAGGTAGATAAACAATAATTTGCACAAAAATACTTTATTTTATGAGCTTTCATATTAATAAATTCAGTACATAATTACAAAAAAAAGATAATTTTTAAATTTTAAAAACTCATATTCAATATTTTAATGTGTTGCAGATGATCGTCCCAGGGATTCCCGCAATTACAACAGAGAGAAACGTGATTACTCTAAGGACGACAAGGACCGTCGCGATTATAATGACCGGGACAGACGAGACTATAGGGACGACAGAGATCGGCACGGCGAGCGTGACGATAGAGACAGACGAGAACCAGAGCGAGACAGGCGCGACTACCGTGACGAACGCGACCGTCGCGACAAAGATGAACGCCGAGACTCTTCTGGCGATCGACGTGACCGCCGCGACTATTCGCCAGATCGACGTCCCCGTCGCAACTCTGGCGAAAGACGCAGGGAAGCGTCTCCAGAAAGACGTCGCGATCCTTCCGGCGATAGACGCCGCGACTACTCCGGCACTCGGGACGACGATCGCCGTCCGCCATCGCACGAGCGCAACGGACGTTCGCGTCCTAGCCGCTCGCGCGACCGGCATGACGAAGCCGATGACAAACCCATGCCCAAGCTAAAAGATCACGAAAAGCCCGTAAGTTCTACATTTTATTTTTTAACAAACTACCGAATACCAATATATTGTGTTGACAATTTAATCTTATAACAATGTTTCATTTCTGTTACAGAACTTTGTAGCGTCGAACAAGTTTAGTTTCTTAGAAGACGCCGATGACGGCGGATCTGATTAGCACGAGCATTGAGTTTGTGTGCGCGCTTCAAATTGTGTCCATTTTACAGTTGACTCGAGTGTAAAGTGTATAAATTAACGAGTAACAAAGTGTCTAACGTGTAGAACAGACTCGATAGAGCACGGAGACAATCTAAAATTGTGCTGATGAAATAGAACTTGATTTGATAGTCACTAGTGCGGTGTGGATATACGTGTATATTAAATAGGATTGCTAATGCTCACACTGCTTCGATGCAGGCCCCAGTCTTTGTTGGAGTCTCTTAAAATTATACTTTTACTACAATTGTCTGGGGAAGATATTCAGCACAGAATACATTCAGTAAGATACTGCAGCAAAGACTGGGGCTCGTATGTGACCATGTTGTACTGATTTGTGTAAAATTTTCTATGGGTTTGTTATTTACAATATTATAATGTTAATATGAATGGTTGCAAACATAGTAAAGATTTAAGAACTGCAAATATTCCATTAAATTTTGATGTGAAACAGGTTTTAGGTCAGGTGCTGCTCTTTCATGCCTCTATTTTTGTGAATAATTAATATTTCATTATTTTATATTATTCCTTTTCGAAGGGATTTTTCTGCAGTTGATTGCATTACAACCATAGGGAATCTAATTTTTCTATATTTTAGAATTTATGTCTTATGTTAAAATATTTAGGTTTATTAGAATATTAATTGTATTATTTATCTTTACACTCAAAATTGTCTAAAATAATCAAGTGGTAAGATTTAAGCCTCAATATTCCTATTGTGCAAGTATGCATACAGATGTGCCTGCCTTGATCGTGATGAAGTTGTTGATAGCTAAAAATACCATTATATCTGATTAGGGCTTGGTCACAATATAATTAAATGGTCAAACGTTACGACGTTTTATTTCTATGGTGAAATTTCATTTGAAAATAATTGTACCTAATTATCAATTAATAAAATGATTACCCTTTTTACAGTAAAAAGTATTTTTATTTAATTTTTTAATGGTTACAAAAATATACATTTAATAATACTTCATTACTTATAACTGAATGAATATTATAATTCTACTATATATCTCGATTATAGTCTTGATGAAGCGAAAGAATCGTAGCAATTTGCGTTCCATAGACTGCTTACCCCAATGGGAGACAGGCGGTTATGTATGTATGTCAACGATATGATTCATTATTCTACAAAACTATTCTAAGCCATTATAATCGTAGCTATAATGATTTTGATATAATAAAATCGTAGCTAATCGTAGTGTTAATGTCTAAAGGAGTCCGAGTGTCATCACTGCGAGGACCGCCCTGAGGACACGGTGGAACACACTGTCGCGGAATGCCCTGCGTGGGCTGAGCACCGCCGTGTCCTCAGGGAAGTGATCGGCGATGGCGACCTCTCGCGTCCGGGCCTAGTGCGGGCCATGATGCGGAGCGAGGGGGACTGGGATGCCGTCTCCTCCTTTTGCGAAGCAGTCATGCTAGCTAAGGAGGAGGCGGGACGCGTGAGGCAGCGAAGCGCTGCCTCCTCGCAACCCAGCCATCGCGAAGGACACACCGGGCGTCGGGGATCGCGGGACGATCTCCGGCCACCGTAAGCGCGGGCCTGCGGACGGCGAGCATGGGTGGCTCCCCGTCCGACCAGAAACAGACCCGAGCGTACGGCGCGTCGCGTTCCGCGCGCGCCTCAAAGAGCCATCAGACCACCACAGATGGGGCCCAATAGGGCCGATGCCGATTCGGAGTCGCGGAGAACCTAACGGGTAACCGGGGCTCCGGCTCGACGTGCAGGAGAAGGAACGGGGTGGTTTTTAGTCAGTAAGAGTCTGGCACTCCCTTCCGCCTCACTCAGGCGGGGGCAGTCATTCGATGATTTTCCCCCTTAAAAAAAAAATGTCTAAAGGAGGCACCACATACACGCTAGGTTATGCATGATGGTTATAACTTTGCCTGCAAAACCGACAAGCTAACCGAGTTTCCTACCACACAGGTACACGTTAGGTTTTGCATCCACCATCTTGCCACGAACTCACAGTTGAGTGAGCTTCGTAGTACGTGACGGTGGGTGTAGGGCGCCAATATCAAACTACCGAGAAAATAAAAAACAAAACTGGCAGGCAAGCTCGCTGGACATCACACACGCTCGGTTATGCTCGCGCGCAAACATAACCGAGCGGTATGTAATATGAATTTTGATATTTGCTCGGTTGCATGTACAACTGTACAGTTTAATCACATACACGCTAAGGCTTGCCTGTCGGTTATGCATGCACGGCTAAAACCATCAAGCAAAACCTAGCGTGTATGGCCTTCTTTAGAATTATTGTGTCACAATTTCATCATTCATGATGGTAGCAAATTGACCAATAAAATCGTTACCTATGTTGTCCACCACGAATGACTGAAGTGCCTATTTAAATAAAATTTTTTGGTTAGAAAAAAAGTATTCCCAAGACTGGGCTAAACTCTTAGCGAAGGGTTCGTTCATTCCATTTAATATTCCGCAGCATGATGATAAAAACTGATAGCTGTCAGTTTTTTTTTATAATACTAAAGAACTGTACCATTCTCACAAAATTCTTCTTACCGGTTTTCTCTAGTCTCACTACAGTAGGTGTCCATGTCCTTGTTGTTAAGGTGATGTGATTTTGAGTCATTACTTACTTATCCCATCGAGCGTCTTTTGAAGACGAGTTTCTGCTTAATAAGGCGATTCCGGGAGCGCAACCTAGGTGTGTGTCTGTATGGTGACGAGTTAAATACCTAGGTAGATATTTTTGTCTACATGTACCTACTTACTTACCAATACTTTTTAACAAAACACCTACATGTATTATTTAGACCTGATAAATAGATGAGGTATCTGATGCAATGAAGGTTTGCGAGACTGCTATGTTCGTTATAACCTATTGAATGCACCGATATGAGACAATAGGAAATACATTGTCTCGCGTGGATCCATGTCTTAGACAAACGAAAGGTTAAAAGCCTGATTGCTGAGTAATATGATTGTCTGCTATTACATAACATAACATCACGCCTTTTTATCCCCGAAAGGGTAGGCAGAGGTGCACATTTCGGCACTTAATGCCACTGTACATTGTACAATGTAACATCCACTTTTCACTATTTATATTATGAGTCCCATGTAATTGGGGGTGAGCCTATTGCCATATGCCGGGCACATTTCCAGACTCCGTGCTACCACTGAGATTTTTAAAAACCCAGTAATACTTTGCCCGAGCCGGGAATCGAACCCGAGACCCCTTGCCCGGCAGTCGCACTTGCGACCATTCGGCCAACGAGGCAGTCTGCTATCATTCAAGTGAAATTTATACATCTGTCTACCCCTTTGGGAAATATATGAGCTATTATGCTGACTAAGCTTCAGTTTTAATAAACCTATTCGCTTTACCTTCTACGTAATACTAAAACCATTGTGTGGCTACCATTTAGTGTACCTATATAGTAACTTATTTGGGCAGATACATCGGGAATGAAAAAATCAATTATGTCATATTACAACAATTTATTTCAATTACAATTTATAACATACAAGACAATTTTTAATGAAAAAAGAAAATAAAACTTTAAACCATGATTTTAACTAATCCATTGTAAATCAATTATACAATTAGGTATTATTTTTAAGTATAAAAGTTTTTTTTGTTTTTTTTTAACATTCATATTATGTTTCATAGACCATAGATTACAACTAATTCAACTGAAGAATTTTAACCTACACGCTCTTATTTAATGTGTAAAGAAACATCTAGCATGCACGGCAAGATCTTTATATCCATAATCATAGAAAAAAAAAAATCTGTGCATTTAGTCAAAAACAATTATTTTGTACTTAAGCACATCTATGAATATAGATTTAACGAACAATGAGACAAGAAACTCAAGTTGCTCAAGTCAAGACTGAGGACACCGAAAAATTCAAAATGTCTGCTCTTCATTTACTCTTCAGAATAGCAGACATCAATTCGTTCTTCAGCCTCTTTGTCATTTCTTCTAGAATGTCAGCTCGAACTCTCAACTTCTTATTTTTCTCTTCTAGTTCATCAGCTAACTGTTCCATCTGTAGCTCCTTGAGTTTCCTGTTCATTCGAGACCGTTTAGAGGCTTCATTATTCTTATCTCTTAATTCTCTATACTTAAACTCTTGTGTAGAGATAGACGAAGAGTTCTCGTCTACACTACACACCGAGGACACAGTGCTCTCCCGTCTTTTAGGGGGGCGTCCTCTTCGCGCCTTGGGTTGACCTTCTAGTGCTAGAATCATGTCCTTGATTGGAACACTTGGTTTCCTTCTTTTATATTTCCTGGATGGCTGTTCAGTATACGGTGTGTAAGTCTCATCGGATTCATCGCTGTCTTGATGTCTTCTCTTACTTGCGGTAGATTTGACGTCATCATTGTCTGATTCCATGTGAGATTCGCTTTTTGGTGTGATGGGCTCATAGTCGACTTGTGGGGGCGGCGGTGTGTCCAATTCTGTGAATGTTTCCTTTGATGTAGACAGAGAGAGGTCCGTGTAGGACTCCCTCGAGGCGGATAGAGAAGCGTTGTGGGCCGTCCAGTGCTCTTGAGGTTTCTGAAACAATGAGAAATAAAATTAAATCGACTGATAAACCATAAGCACCATTATAAATTACATAAGTATACCTAACTAATCGCCATGAAATTCAACATCAAATCAGTTTAAACACTTACCAAGGGCTGTGTGCATTTTTCTTTTTCTAGTTGCTCCACATAGCTGAGCACTTCAGGAGTGCTGATGGTGTCGAATGGCCAGGCGGGCGCCCGCGCCGACACGTCCACGGACAGCCCCTCGACACGCCTCGGCATCGCCGGTTCTTGCATTGCCCCCATTAGGTCTTGGTCTTCGTTGATGATGAACTCGGAAACAATTACGTTGTTGCTTTCCACCTCCCGTGGGATGACGGATCCAAATTTAAGATCAAGGGAATCTTCTGCATCGATGAAGGGCGCTGTGTTGTGAGGTGGATTGGTGTACATATGATAATATTGGGTGTCATGTGTGTTGGTCAACTCTACTGGATCCCGGACTTGCCACGGATTAGTATCAGCGACCGTCTCAGACGGTAAGTCTCCAATAACCACTGGCAGTCTGCTAATGTCTAAGAATGTTTCCTTAAACTGCACGTTGTTGGTATCTTTATCCCATTCTGGGAAGGTAGGCATGTTGGCGTCATACTGCGGGAACTTTTCGTTCGGCGACAGTGGTTCATGCGGGGAGATGTTATTGTATAAGCCTGCCTGTGGAAACTGGGAGTTAACGTCTAAATTTTCCCAACCTTGCGGTGAGAATTGTGTGTATGGTGTGTCGATCTTAAGTGCCCTTTCTTCAGTATTCTTAGATGAATCTGTTTGAGAAAAAACACATTTGGTTAATTTTACGTGAAATTACATAAAAATATTATTAAGTTTCTGTTGGTAGGTCCTAATCATTTTAAATATTTATTGAGTGATTGACTCCATTGTGATTCAAATATAAATGAAACAAGAAAGGGTTAAATTAAAATATGCTTACCAATGGTCTGTACTACTTCTTCCTTTGCGGGAACGCAGGACAACGGAACCAGATCTTGGAAGAACTCGTAGTCCGTTTCGTGAAACATTGCGCTCTCGAATAGGGGCTCCGATTTCAAGTAAACCTGAAAACAGATTATGTAATGTTAGCACGTGTTGTAAATTGTGAGCAGAGCCTAAAAATTAACTTATTATTAATAATAGTAATGCATTATATTAGTACTCACGGTTTCGGGTGCCATTCTTACCTCTGCAAAGCTGCTGGTTGTAGCCACTGGCGAAGACGGAGCTGCGGTGTTTGAATATCCGTCGGTAATCACTCCGTTTAGACCGTTTACGCAGTTCTTCTTCTCGTTCTTTAAACGATCTAGCTCTACCACTTTCAAAACAGTTTGAGTATTGAGACTCGTTTGCGAAAA